ACTCATTAAAAATATATTTTAAATAAGGACGTCTGCTGGTCCCGTGTTTCACCAAACTAAAACCTGTCAGATTTATTGGTGCCAGAGGTGAACTATACAGAAGACAGGACCAAATATTACTATGATTATTATTATCGGGGTCATTTTTATGTTGGACGTTGTAAGTTAATGAGCAAAAGTGAGTCTGAGTTTGTGCCTTGAATGTGTGATCATTAAAATCTTTACTTGATTTTTACCAAAAAATATATTTTGGTATCAAATATATTCAGTCAATGTTTCCTTTTTTCATATTTTCATAAAATACATATAATCATATAACAAAACAAAAGAACATGTATAAAGTTAAGTACAAAATAAGGAAATGTGTGTCATCTCTGGTTATAATCTTCTTTAGGATTAGCAAATGGTCTTGAAAAATGACTTTAAATAATATTTTGATTCTGCAGCAGACACGTTTTTTTCTGTCTGGATGGACAGAAGATTTTAGAAATAACTTTCAAATTGCAGTAAGTTTTGTCCATCAACCTCCGGGTTTTATTTTTGAATAATCTTTCAGGAAAACGGACGCTGAGCTCTTGAGACACGAGAGAGAAACAGGTTTGAAGTCGTGCTGAAGAAAAGAAGACAGACAAGGAAAACACGGAGACGCTTTGTTATTCGATCAGCAAAAACATCTCAATCTGTATTCATCAAAGCAGGTAACAAACTTTATATACAAAAAGGTAAGACGTTAAAAATGTTTTCTCATAAATATCTAATTAGATCTTTTATACTGTAAAATACATTGGTTGCATAGAAAAGTAGTGACGAGTAGTTGAGAGATTGCTGGTTATCTCTGTACAAGTGCATTCTAGTTCCAACTGAAGAGATCACACAGGTCAGCACAGACCAACTGGCTCAACATGATACCAAAAGTAGAGAACGTCATGAGACCACCAGTTGAACCAAATGTTAGCCCACGAGGGAGTGTGATGCTGTGAGACAGTTAGCTCCTGTTTGGGGATAAATTTACTGTTAATTAAAAGAAAATATACATTTAAATGCAAGTAAAATCCTGCCACTACAAGCTTTACCATCTTTTCAGGGGGAAAGTGCAGGAACATTTACATTTATTCAGAACTAATAATTTGTGTGTAAGCTCAGCTCTCCGTCTGGTTACATCAGACGCTCGGGAACATCTGAACGGAAAGAAGTTAAAGAGCAGGTCGTGCAGTTTCCCTAAAATCTAAATATTATTCTGTGAGACTGACTCATCTGCTGCTTTTTAGGTACAATTATAAGTTTCCTTTGAGTTTATAGGGAAGTGAAGTTCACTGGGGTTTTCCTTTAAGACGCTGGGGATGACATGGAATTAAATCTAGTGGAGTTTGAGAGGGATTCTACAGAAATTATTACTCCAAAAAATGTTCACCAAGTGAAATTTTGACTTGCATGAGACAGTATAAATAGAGGTATAGCTGCATACACTGTGTAGTCAAAAGTCTCCTCATTGCAGCACCTTTCTGGTAGACTGATAACCAAACATCTGTAAAGACGTCGCTTGTTTCTTAACACTGTTTCAGGACATATTTGTAGGACTTTGACGCAGTGAACAGACTTCTTGTTTTGTGCAATAAGATTGATTTCCCATCTTCAGGGAACACATTGGCTGCGGCCAAATAGTCTTTTTTTATTTGATTTGGAAGGTTCTCAAAAACATGAAAATACATCTCCCCCTGCTTCAAGTAATGTGTTTTTGGCCGTTAAGCCAAAGACAGAGACAACGTCCTGTGAGGAGCTGCCGGCAGCTACAGTCACATTTCTTCATCGACAGATGTTTCCTTTCTTATCTCCTTCAGCATAGGGTAGGTTTTATTGGTTTTAATAGATTTTATAGGTTTGACTTTAAAGCTAGACGATGCTACTTTATCAGAACAGCAGCCCCTGTGGCCGTATGTGGTAACTACAGCATGATGGCTGTGGTTATTTCTCATGATATTTTGATGCGAGTTGCTTTAATGACGACATTGTTGAGGGTGGAAGTGCATGCTGGCCCTTGGAGACTGTATTAGTGACACGAATAGTGTGAGTTGCACTTCACAGTGAGTCGACAAAGTGACAACATCTAAAGTTTGCTAATACTAGCCACCATAAGCTACTGGTCATAGACCAGACCAAGTGACGCTTTAGCGGCTAAATCCCCGAGTGCATCAAAGCCAGACAGGGTGAGTTTTACTGTTTATGAATTCAACTCTTCATTTGTTAGAGAAATATTGTGTTATTTTGTCTTTCAAAAGTTACATAGTCTTGCTTTAAACTTGTTCTTTCACTTAGAGCTGCAAGACGGGATTGTTTTGAAAACGTGTGGTGAGTTCAAGTAAACTCTGACATCTGAGATTTGAAAGTTGGCTTTCGAGAAGCAAAAAACATTACCAGGACTTTTTAATTTGAACAATATTCATGTTTGCCTACATTGCGTGTTCTGGATTTAACGTCTCGACAACACCGCTTGTGAATGCTCTGCTTTGAAGGATGAATGCTGATTTATCGCGCATCTGACCAAACAAAAAACGCCACTATGTCAACGAGTGGCTAGTTGAAATCCTGAACTAAAACCATCTCCTCTCTAAATTCACTATCTCATTTAGCTCCCTGTGAATCCGTTGGAGGAGACTTGGTGTGAAACATCTGTCTGAGTGTTGTTGTTCAGGCTCCCAGTTATTATAAATCGCCTCATTTTCTCGTCTGAACCTCGTCTCATTAATCAGATTTGATTTCTTATAAACATTTGTCTAACAAAGAACACAGAGGGAAAGTATCAAAACACAAGCTTTGATTTTTAAACACAGACACAACACAACGGATCTCCATACACAAGACGCATAATATACGAAACCTTTAAAAGAAAACAAATCTACATCATCTCACAATATTAAATATAAACAACCTTTTCAAAAAAATAATCTCTGTGCCGAGTGTCCATTGTGTTGCTAAAAGCAGGTTTTTCTTTGTGCTAAATGGAGACTTGTTCTGTTCAACATCTTTGAAAGTTAGTTATTTATCTCCATCAGGTGTGATTTTATGAATCAATATGAAACATTCACTTGAAAGATAAAAATCATTTTTGTCTTTTTCCAAATTTTTTGAAATGTGTCAGGTCTCCATGTCCTCCTTCCAAAGTTAAAAGTCTCCGTCTCTTGTCCAAATCCACCACCTCCACCATGTGTGTGTGTGCGAGTGCGTGTGTGGAGTTACATGTGCGTTACATGGGGCAGGGGTCGGTCCCTCTCTCTCGTTCCTCCTCTTCCTCCAGGATGCTGGAGCAGTCCATCGCCTCTCCACTGTTTCTCTCAATGCTGGGGACCATCGGAGACCAGCTCTCCCCAAACTCCTCCTCCTTTTGCTCCTTCCTCCCCTCCACCTCTCCGTCCTCCTCCCCTCCTTGCTGCCTGCAGTAAGGTGGGATCTCAACCACGACGTATTTCTTCACCCAGCCACTCAGCACCGCTTTCTGCAGGACATCATTTCCCGCCAGGATTGTGTCCGACCTGGAGTTGATTCCTGAGGAGAGAAAAGAGAAAAACAGTGACGAAACAAAGGGAACGATTATTATCTACTTTAATGATCAAGTTGAAAAGAATCTATGTGGCTTAGTTTCTGCAACTGCTTCCCACTTGTACCAACTGCCAAAAGCCACGTTTATACATAACCAACAACCATGAATGAGGGCCATAAAAAGAATATATATGTATCTGTAAAATAAGAAATATAAACGTACATTTGAAAATATGTATGTATATAAATATAAATGTGGAAATATAAATAAAAAATATATATAGCAGAAAAATAAGTATTTTAATTTATTTTAACATTCATGTGTACATTTATTTCTGTATATATTTATTTGTATACTTTTAAAAATATCTATTTTCATTTGTTTATGTAATTATATATTTGTATTCCTTTTATTTTTCCTTATTCTTCTAAAAACAAAGTTTATATTTATTATTTTGATCTTTGTCTTTATATTTCCACATTCATTTACTTATTATTATTACTTTATATATATCCACATTTTTTATATATACTTATATATTGTACTTTTATGTATTTCACTCTGTATTTCCACATTTTGTTTTTATTATTTATAATTATTTTTTTATTTAATCCTCTATTTTATTTCATTTATTTTTCTTATATAGATCTATTCTTTTTCACGGGTCTATGATGAACATTAACAAAATCCGGTGCATCCCAAATTTCTAAATGCTAAATAATGTTGCATTGCTGTTACACGTTTTAAGCTCTTTGCAAGCGTCAAAAAAGCTTATTTTTTTTTAACATTTTTTGTAACATTCTAAGAGCATTTCATAAATGCTAAAAGGACATCTCACGGACAACTCACCTAGCAGCGTTGTGGCGAGCTGGCTGGAGTTACAGGTAACAGAACCGTTGTTATTGGTGCTGACATCAGCAGCGAGGGGGAAGGCCTCGGAGCGGGGCAGCTGGGGGCACACCGGTAGAGAGTGACACTGTCTTCCTGGCAGCTGCCGCCAGTAGTAAGACGTCCCCTGTTGGGATCCTCCGGGTCCATGAGCAGACGGCTGGGGACTGAACACACTTCCCGGAGGCGAGTGGAGGTCAAACACCAGCGAGAAGACAGACTTGCTGGGCACATCGAAAAACTTTATCTTGCCCCCACACAGGTCCTCTCGGGCGGTGAATGGGTTGATCTTGTGGGCTGTGGAGGCCCTCTGAGCATTGGGAGGGTTGTAGTAAGGGTCCTGGACGTTGACTTTCCTCCCTGGTTTACATGAGAAGATGTCCGACTGGCTGCGGCTGAGCCAGATGTTTCGTCGTGGGCGTGGGGATTTTGGAGGGATTTTATCATCCTGGAAACCGAGAGGGTTCAGTCGCTTGAAGCCCTGGATCTTCTCACCTTGAAGAGACAGATGAGTTTTATGATGCTTTTTTGCGTAAAAGTTACATAAAACTTTAACATTTGATAGTCAAATTCACGAGTTTTAATTCTAGAGGTGTATACTCCTTTTTTGGAGAGAAATAGACCATCACATCATGTTGCTGGTGCTCTGACAGTAAAAAAGGTAATCTAATAACACCACTAGGTGGCGATACAGGCCACTAATAAATCCTGTGGAGAGAGTTCCTTAAATCCCTGTTCTTCAAATGTTTCCAAACAGAAATCTCCACTGAATTGTAGTTGGATGTTAATATTCTCATAAACTTTAATTAGTGCAGCAGGGAAAACGGTTAAATGGAGTCTCAGTTTGCAGCGATTGAGCATCACCACATCATTAAGAAAGAGATTGTTCATATGCACAAAAATCCCTAGTTTGTAAAAATCAGTTATTCCCAAAGTTGTTACATATAAACAGATGAGCTGACCATTAAAACGTCTCATTTTAATCTCCTCTCACATCTCATTTAGTGCTGCACTTCTGTTAGATTGTGTGTCTCATTTATGCCAGGAAATATCTGAGAGAATTACTCATGTGACTCACGAGGGCCAAAAAAAGACCAAAATGTTTGGCTAAAAAGTCGTTACGCAACAGAAATATTTCCTACTACGAGTGCGATGCTGGTTTTGAGGAAATGGTGATGTTATCAGGTAAACACAGCGAAGGAGCTGGAGGAGGAGAGCAGAACAACTGTCAGATCCAGGTTGTTTCCCACATAAGATACAAGATATAATACTTATGCCAACCGACTGCAAATCTAAATGTCGTTAGACTGAACTACACCAGAATTGTCACTTCTATAAACCTGTGACGTCATATGTTCGTGCTCTCCTTCTTCAAGAACTGAGGAAAAGTAGCCGTTTGGCTCGTCTCAACAAAAACATTACATTACTGCCTCCTGGACGGTCAGACATGCAGGCGGCGATACGCTGGACCAAATTAGAAGTGAAACCTGGACCCTGCGTGGATCAAGTATCTCAAAATAGGCATCTAAAATCTCAGAGCGGTTCTCCTCCTAAGTCGTGGTGAAGTTTATATTATCAGCAACCAAAGACTTCTTTGAAGTGCGATACAGTTAAACGTTGGAACAGATTTTATTTGAATCACTTACTGCGGTGCAAAGAACAGGGGATCCAGATGGGAAAAAGAGATCTTACTCTGCTGACTAGTTCATTATCTGACTGAAAAGGAAGTGAAGTTTAAATCTTGACCAAAACTGGCTGTGGGTTTGGGCGAGGACGACGGTGTAAACTGTTTGCTTGTAACTGACTGAAACAAACATGGAATCAACAGCGTGCTTTTACAGGAAGAACCGGTATCGACACCGACGGGGTGACAAGGGAAACATTGATCAGCTGATCGGCTGACTAGATAAGAGGACGAGCAGAGCCTGGAGGGGAAAGGCTAGAGAGGCCAGGAGGAGGATAGGAAATAGGTTTCTGTTGCCTTCGTTGGATGACAGGATGGTACCCATACAGGAAGTTGCAGGTGTCTTGTAAACAAAAGGAGGTGCCTTATATCGACTGTAAAGCTAAAGCTGAAATGACCAAATCACTGCATCACAGAGTGAGAAGTCATGCAGCGACCGTTACCTTTGGACACGGTCTTCTTGTCGTTGTCCCCGCTGAGTGGGTCGCACTCGTGCTCCATCTCTTCAACTTTGAGGCCTGCGACAACGCCCTCGAGGTGCCTGACGATGTCTGGGAAGGAAGGACGCAGTTTAGGGTCCATCTAGGGGAAGAAAAAACACAAGACCGATGGAGAAGGATGAGATTTATATACAGTAACATGGTGCAGAAGACGGGATTGATTGCACTCATCAGATTATTATCAGCGGAAAACAAACGTACACCAACAAGCTCACTTTCCATTTAAAAAGGTGCTGCAAGTAACATTTAAAAACATTAATAAAATATTACCATGTTTATTATACAACATTATAATAATAAACATAAAGAAACAAGACCAGAGCTGACGCCTCTACAAACATTTGCATTTTATTTTACAAGTTGTTTTTTCCAGGAAATCTACTATATTTTTAATGGCACATAGAGAGATTGTTTTATGGCTTTTATTGGCACTTTACTCTGAAAACATGCAGTTTGTCACCCTAACGTTACTACAAGGAACTTTTAACTGGTAATGAAACAGTCTAAATGTCATACCGTTGCCTCTATATGACCTACAGAAGTAAACGAGACCATCAGTGATACATAGTTATTCTGTCATTGGGACCGAACCCGAGCCAAGAGCAGAGCTTCCCCCCCGCTGGGAGCCAACTCCGACACCACACTGCTGGGGTTGCCGTATTGCTGGGCCTGCTGGAGGGAAGGGAGTTCCAGGAGAACCAGAACAAGGACTGTCAGACCCTGATGCAGTAACATGAGAGGTTTTCTAAAGGGACTCTATAACACTATCGCTTTTGTCCTCAGGAAACGCCCAAATCAAGACAAGAGGAAAGCTCCTCGCAGTAGCTTTAACATGTCAAGATGTTACATCGAGCGTCTTTGTTGAAAATATTTAAAAGTGAGGAAAATGCAAAGAAAAACTATAGACTAAAGTAGAAGATGAAAAAGGGGGAAGGGAAACAAAATAGGCAGGAATAAGAAGAAGTAGATCGACAGTTTGGAAGGGGAACGGGTATACGAGGGAGAAAAAACAACATAAATGTGGCTAAAGATGAAGACAGCTGATTAATTAATTAAGAAAATTAAAGAATGGGGTGCTGGGGTGCCCTGGAAAAAAAAAAAAAAAAGACTTGGATGGAGGATAAGGGAGAAAAGGATGATAAAAGCGAGACAACAGAGGGAGCCAATACAGGCTCAATCAGCAGGGGGCTCCAAAACCTTTAATGCCCTCGGCCTCTGTGGTTTGTAATTAAAGAACACAATTACAGTCCAGTGATTAGGATGTGAGCAAAACCAAACTCTGAGGAAATAAGAAATTGTATTTGCTTTGGTTCAATGTACTTAATCTCCTCCTCATCTCAGTAGTTACTTCATTTTAACAAATAAATGACTGTAGAGAAAAGCAGAATCTGATCTGATCAAACTGATCAAAGCTTTTAGTGAACAGAAGACCCCCTGGGTAGGGAACTAAATCAGATTACTCAGATAATCAGATTGCCCCTCTATTTCTGAACAACGGAATAATAGTTACTTAAGAAATTAAAAATAAAACAGTGGGAATCCTGAGAAACAACAACAAAGACAAGCCATTTGGGAAAAGTCTTTCTCCCAACACAGATATAAGTGTTGGGAGACTGAAATGTCTTCATTGAGAGAGACTGAGACAGATGAGTGTGTGGTGGACTCACATTGCAGCAGTTGAAGGCCAGCTGGAGGAAGTCATGTGGACAGTCTCCAACCATGTGCTGGAACGTGTGATAGTCCAGGCCGAAGTTCTGCTCAGAGAAGACAGAGCGACGGAGAGATTCATTAAACAGGAAATTCGTATTTACTATTCTGAAAGTGGGATGAAGACAAAGATCGACAGAGCTTCATCAGATGTTTGACAGACTGCAGCTCTTCTGCCAAAACCAGCTTCATGTCAAACTAATCCCTCGGACACGCTGCTGCCGACTGCCAAGTTTTCGGTTTGGCTCTGACATTTCGAATAACACCGTGTGGAGATAAATGTGCCTGTGGGTTTCCAAAAGCTCAGTTTCATATTTTTACAAAAATGAATAAATATGCATAAAAAAACCTGCAAAAATAGCTGCAGTTGATTTGAGGTAAACAGCCGAATACTGATATCAATATTTGAAAACACGATTCTTATTTTGAAATGATTATACAATAAAGAAAACATTAATATTATGTTCTGCAAAAAAACACCCTAAATTTTACACTGGCCTTTTAAATCTGCCTCTTATACAATAACCCACATCTGTTTAAGATAACGTATAAACATGTTGGATAAGGATCCCTTAAATTTAGTTATTAAATAATTGTGAGTATAAAACGTGCTGAGGACATTTTACACTTTAAAAACAAACTCCTCTCTGGTGAATGACATTTACACAAACATCACTAAATACTGTATGACACAAGATATAATTGATATTGGTATAAACAGGGTGAGCATCATGGGACAGCAACAGATCAACCTGTGCACAAAGCGAACAGGCAGGCGGAGTGATACGAGGGGGAAAACAGGTGAAAGTAGATGAGCGCTCACCTCCGTGCGGGGAAGGAAGTCGGGGTCAGCCTGGACCCTCGCAATGACCTCACACAGGATTATCCCAAAGGAGAACACATCGGTCTGAGAACAGAGAGACACACGTTAAGACATGCAAACATGCTCCTCATTGGTTTCGTAATTGGCTAACTGGTTTATTATAAAGTAGAACATTTGTGAAGCTGCCTGATATTCGCTAAATTAAGCTACAAATGTACCAAACTCTCTGAGCTCCCCGTCTGAAATACAACTCTCTGACCCCCACAATTTCACAGAAATTTCAAGACCAGTAAAAACTTATGATCCATTTCCCCTATGTTTGTTTAAACGTAATTAAAACTCATCTAATATAATCATACTTGAGTTTAAGAGATAAAATAAAGTCGAACTTTATTCATCCCGAAGGAAATTCTTGTGCCAGAGATTGATCAAAGACGACAGAAGATTGTTATTTAAAATACTAAAATAGTTATTTCCACATCATCTCCATTTGTACCACTACGTGCTACTCGAGGTTAGATGTTCGTGACTTTACCTTCTCGTCGTAGGGTTCATTTCTCAGGACCTCTGGAGCCATCCAAAAAGGAGAACCAACAACTGAGAGTTTCTCTACTTCAGCACTACACACACACACACACACACACACACACACACACACACACACACACACACACACGTTAATGCATTTGGTACATTATAATGAGGAAGACATTTGTGTCTGATAAAACTTCAGAGGCTCTGAGGCATTTCGTGGGAGTGTGTGAAGTCATGTCTTCAAAATGTCTCTGCAACATGAATAAGAACAACCTGCGAGATAAAAGGAGCTAATAAGCTCACTGTGTCCCCGGATGTTTCACTCAAAAGTCAATTCAGTAGCTTTTGCTCCGTTTAGATTTAGATTTAGATAAGGTGAAGTCGACCAGAGTTTTCATCTCAAATGTTTTGTCATGTCGTTCTCTGGCAAACCCCAAACCTTCTCAATTAACACACTAGATTTACCGCATCGGCGTTTTATGGCTCCGCGAGAACGAACAGCTAGGACAACAGACGGACGGACAACCCAAAAACATAACGCCTCCGGCCTCCGCTGTCGCCTGCCTGTATTTACATTACCGTACATCTGCATTATTCACACATGTTCATACACATGCATAGATACACATTAAATAAATGCTCAGCTGTCTGGGTCGTATCAACTCTGTTCCTGAAGATGTTTTAGAAAACAATGGTCTCTCCTTCATTGTGCTTCTGCAGCATTACGATAACACAACCCTGCACTGATGGTATCCTCCTGTTATCAAAACACTAAAGTTAGGAATGTGATCTGTACGGCCTACTGGTAATGTCAGTGCCAGACACGCACGCGTTAATAAATAACACGTTATGAGGAGGAGGAACACGCTCAAGTCAGTTACAAATAGCTGGAACAGGAAAAACTGAATTTGGACATTTTCTCTTTTTTATGGCTATTTTAAAGAAGTTGGCCCGGTTGAGTCAATGAGAAGATTAACTCCTGGTGTAAAACGAGGGGCAGTACATACCAACAAACTGCCCAGTCACACATCAAGCAGACATAGAACAACTCTATTGGAGTCGTGTTTCACCACCTAAAAGAAGTCTAATATTCCTCTTTTATGGGCTTTAAGTGCTGAATGCTCGGCTTTCTTCTTCAGCCACTCACACACTAGCTGCCTGTTTACCGTCTGGTGATTGGCAGGTAGTTTATGGGCTTGTGTACAACTCACGGGCCGACAGGAGTTAATGAGAGTAGCTTGAGACTCTACTACGTAATTGTAACAGTAAAAACCAAAACAGCTAATTTCTCGCTTCACATTCATCAGATTCAATGTTAATATCGAAAGTAGAGAATAATGAATTAGTAAAACAAATGAGCTTCCAAAAGAGTTGTTTGTTCATTGAAGTCCTTACATTCTTATGAAAGTATTTTATTTTACTTTTATTTAGTATATGTATATAATATATTTGTCCATATCTATTTAATAATTATAATGTATTTATTTATTTTTATATTTATGTTATTTATTCCTGTTCCAATCTTAAAATATACTCCTCTATCCTTTATATCCTCTGTGAATATACATGGATATAATTCCATATCTTTACATATAAATGTAAAGGAGCATTGACGCAACTATACACTGGACGTATGATCGTCTTTGGACCAATAAGAATGACAGAAACGGAGAACGTCTTACGGATTGGTGGGGATCTTTTCTGCGAGGCCAAAGTCTCCCACCACTGCCGTGTAGCCGTTGTCCTCGCATTTGATCAGGCAGTTCTGTGAATACACAAAAGCATTGTCATTATTTTCTCATGTTTCGTTGAGGAAGTTGTGACACAGAATGATTAGAAGAAAAATAAATTGTGGGACAACAATTTGAGCCAAAACCTCAACTTCCTTAATTGAATCTAGGGCCTTTTTTTCCTTCTCATTCTCTGTAGATTGTAAAATAGGAAATAACAGAACATAAATATGCACAGCTATGAAGTTCGGACTCTTCCTCCTTCTCTAAACGGAACTATCTGTAAATCTACAGTTACTGTAGATAATCAGAACACAGTATGATCTCCAGAACATAGCACAAAGTTACAGCTGGAAGGAGAGAATGCCTGAAACAAGTTCATTACATTAAATAGAATTTATAAAAAGAGTGAAATTTGCGTCGTCTGTTGAGCTTCATGACTGAGATACGAGTCATAAACAAATGGGCTTTGTATTCATTTGAGGAACTATAATCTGCTCTGACCGCATCATTTATATTTTTTATTCTTAGCTTGGACAGGCAATGGATACGAGTTAACAGCAGAGTGAACGCTGCCCCCGCTCCCTGCCAGCTCCATGCCAGCATGGCTCCGGGTCAAGTTGGAAAACTAGAAGCTGTCTGGTACAGATTATCACATCGGACTGTGACACTGTGTTCTTTACGGAGAGGTTATCGGGTGTAGGAGTAAAAGAGATGCGCGTGTCAAGACACCTCACACCTCTAACATTTGTATCTGACATCGAAGACGAGTCTTATATTCACAGATTGCTGCATTATCCTGGGACCAAACACAGATATTGCACTGTGAGCTGTCAAAAGCACTAATACTTGAATATATACTGTACAGCACTTTGCAGAGATACTAGGCCACCTGAATCTACTGGAGATGTTGTAAAAATACAAATCTACAGGAAATGCTAATGTGTTGTACTGAGGCCACAAGAAGGCCTGCAATTCTATTTGGAGCTACGGTTTGTCCTCTTAACAACCAATTAGCCGTCCAGCTAACCTTGGAGGTGAGGTCCCGGTGGAATATGCCTTTGGAGTGCAAGTAGGACAAACCGCTGGCGATCTCGGAGCCCAGTTTCACCCTCGTGGGCCAACTCAGGTGTTTGTTGCTGTCTAGAAGCTGCTCCAGGTTTCCACCGTTGATGTACTGGAGGAAGACAAAGAGACACACAGGTAAATAAGAAAGGTAAATATGAATACTGTTGTATTATATTAGGCACAATGTGCTTGTTTGGCTGCATAAAGCCATCGTATTAGCGAGCTGGGGGGAGATGTCAGACCACTTTTCACAGGAAATAAATGCGAGATGTTGTAGACGTAGTTTCAATACTCTAATTGTAGCAACACAACACTCACTGTTGCCAGTGACAGAAACAACAGACTGGTTAGTTGCCTTGAAAATTCATTGGTCAACCGGTGACACGTTTAAACTACATAAAGATAAGGGACTAACTACATTAGACCAATCAACCGTCTATCCAGCTGGCTCACAGAGTGGATGCCTGATTGGTGACAGTGGCCGGGGGGGGCTAGCTGGTGTATCAAGCTATAGGCTGAATAAAATCTGGCTGCCAGCTTGTTCAACTGGCTCGCAGAACTGCTAGTTTCCCCACATGCATGAATGTGGACCGGCTGAAGATTGGGCAGCCAAGAGGACAAATCAGCTCAGTGGGTTTAAAAGTATCCGGGGTCCTTCGCTCTGCCCGTCGGCTTTGATCCAGAATAACTTGTCTGACCTTGCTGCTCGCTTGCAGACACACAAATCCCATGTCACATATCACGCACAACAGTGGTTAACTCGACAGAGAATTAGGACATAAGGGGGGCTGACGTTGAGGGGAGGAGGTCTCTACCGCTTCACGCGACTGAATAAAGTGGCGATTGAGTAAAGTGGTTATTCGATTGAAGCCCAGAATCTCTTATATGGAAAACCTGACACAGTCAGCTCAGACAGTCGATGGCGGTACGTCACCTAATGTGTGGAAATGTTTCTGCTAGAATGTCGCCTGATGAAGACAAGAGGTGAGCTGAACTATTGTCTCACATTTAGGCCTACAACCATTTGATCAGCCTGGTACTCTATCTAAATTAACTCTTCATCCTTGGATCCTGTACACACACACACACACACACACACACACACACACACACACACACACACGATGTCAGAGGATTACAGTATTTGTCCAACAAATTCCTCATTTCTCAACATCTGTTGTCTGCCTGGTTGAGAGGGGAAAACTCCACTGGAGAGACAATCAAAACTCAGAGTAATCCAACTTCCTCCCTTTATCATCTCGTTTAAGATCCAGACAGCAGCACTCATTTTATTCTCACGCTCTCAGAATATGCTGCGAGGGCAAAGTGTGCCTGATCCAACACACCAATCACACGGTTTAGAGAAAGAGTGCACCTGCCGTGTCAACCGAAAGTAACTGAATGGGAGTAAAGTTGCATTCAAATAAAAAAAGCCTCTTATTCGGGCACGGTATTTTCCCTGGAATTTGTGTTATCCTATTTGCCGAGTTACTGATACACCACAGTAATTACTTGACAAAGCACATGTTTGAGCCATGTATGGGCCTCGCCATGATCGTGTTCAACCTAGATTGCCCAGGAAATGAGAAACATACTGTTTCGGAAATTGTTCTGCTACACACCGTCTGTGTTTCAGGTTTTAAAAAGAAAACCTGGAAATACTCAAACAGAAAGATCCTTGTTTGCTGGGAGCAGCTTCAAACAGCAGCATATAATCCTGCCAAGGGTCATGAATTACCATCAACCCAGATTATGCTCGCAGGAGCCTTTCCTATGAAGTGCATTGGATTGAGCGAGGCTTGGTGCTCAGTGGGTCTGTAAGTGGGTGATGCAGCACCCTGGGGTGCCTTGAAGACGGGCAGAGTAGTGCCGTGAAACGAATCATATCACTGTTTATTTATTGTACATTTACATTAACTACTTTGTATGTTACGTTTTCAAACACATCAAAACAGATAGATTTTTTTTAGAAACGTTTTTCATAGTGACCGTCAGAGCAAGCAGTAAAAAGAGCTAAAAGAAATACTGACATCTCAGCCCTCAACACAGTCTGACGCCACTGAATCTGAGCCGAGCAATAAAAAAAAAAAATCAGAGCAAACACCATTTGGCTCACTGCTCAACGGACAGGTTTTGGGCTGCTTGAGGAAGAAGGATATCCATCGTTGTCTAATAGCTGTGTGTATTGTGCGTTGTTCTTAATTCTAAAGAAAAAAGTGCTTCAAACTGTTTTCTTTTGCCTACATTCTGTTTGTTCTGCAGTGTGGTCCGTGGATTTGCATGCGTCTGTGCGTAAGAGACGGTGAGTTTCTCGACGTAGCTTTGGGCCATGCAGTAACTTAATTCTCCATTTCCTCCGAGCACGGCCTCATAGTGGGGGTCAGGTAACAAAACAGCATGAGCCTGCTACCGGGGTCAGAGACTTCAGCTTGCTCCTGACAGGACACAACAGGATCTGTTTACCCTGCAGCAGGAAAACAAGACCTACCGCAGTGTGCGTGTATGTGTATTTATACGTCCAACAACGCTTGGATTCACTTTGCAACTGCAGTATAGGAAGAAAAATGTGTGTGTTTGTTTGTGTGTGTTTGGCATTTTAAGATGTGTTCTGTTCCTGCAGAAAGTTGGTGTTTGTCTTTGTTTGTCAGAGCTACAATAAGAGCATTCACTGAGCAAAGCGACAGTACAATCACGGACATGTGCGAGCGCCTGGAAGCATTTCTAACAGTGTATGCTTTCTTCAGAGTGCGATGAATCAAATGTTTTGTACCATCTGTCCACAGTTACGTGTATTTGCAGCACAAACATGTTTACAGTTACTGTAAACTGTCGTGAATGTGTGTTTTTGTGCAGTTTGTGCACCGATATGTGAACGACCACGGGACATAAAACATCATCCCACGGCTCCGGACATCACGCTTCTTTTAATTATCTGTGAGTTATTTCCTCTATTAGAGCTAGAGTGGGTACTGTAGAAACACTTGTGTTATAGTTGTTGAAATGTTCTTTGCATCCAGACAGAAAACAACAAATTGCGTTCAAATAGTTTCAGCTTAACCCGAAATTCTTCTTTATTTTAGAGGAATCGTGATATCTAGAATGCATCATTTAGCAATGTTTCCTATGTCATGGTGCCCTGCTAATGGTTCTAAATATGAATTGAAGAATATTTTCAGACTTCTGTGTTTGTCAGACTAGTGATTTTCTATTTTAACGGTGGTCTTGAGAAGTTGTATTAATCCCATCGGAGTTATTGTGTAAACACTGACAGAATCTCAGTGCATTATCAACACGAAAGCCGACACAAATATCTTCTTCTACATCCTGTCAGAGTGCATCTGCTTCACATTGGCTCAGTGTATTTTTAGAGCAGAAAAACTAAAGACAACCACAACTAATTCAAGGAGCAACTCGCGACCACAGGAATGCCATATTAACCCTTCTAAACCGAAGGTTTCAGGTTATATTTGTACCTCCCATTTCTCTCCCAAAACAGGAGAAATACGCCCGACTTTTTCATGAAGGAGATAAATACATCAACTGCTCATCGAGCATTTTGCCGGACTAATGATTATCACAAACACACAGTTACGTATCTGTCCATCTCTCACATAAACACAGGTTAAATATAGTCTTTGTGCGGTCAGAAAATACATACATCAAGCTTTTCTGAAGAATTTTATCTGCTGCTTGAATCACAATTATCTCTCCCTCTTCCTCTCACACACACACACACACACACACACACACACACTAAGTGTTACACTTAGGCACATTAAGTTCTTTTGGTTTTCCACAATTACAGACTAGCGTGCTTCTCTGTTGTGCTCATGATGACGTGATGTTCACCCGAAAATAGTACGAACATAAACAAACACGTGGGTGTCTCAGTTCACGAGAAGCATTGGAACATAGCGGCCCAGTACACTATACCTTTCATTAGTAGGGACACTTTGATCTCACTTATTGTATGTCTGTAACAAAGCTGTGATGTGAAATGGTGTTTTCCTACCTCGGTCAGAGCGTGAAGCTGGCCCTCGTGGACACACACTCCCTTGAACCTGCAAAACCACAGAAGACATGCAGGATTAAGGTCTCATAACGCCATGATTTGATCTTTGAGATAACACAGGGACATTTGTTAGACTTTGACAGGAAGCAATTAAATCATTAAGCCTCAATAAAGAGTATTGAGGCTGTCTCACTTATCTTCTCAGTACATCAAGTGTTTGGTTTCTCTTAGCTCAAGCACTTGGCTCTACATGTAAATGAGTCATGGAAATTAAAATAACATGGAAATATCGAACCATAACACTTGCATGACCCTCTGTGCAGTGAGTAAACAGAGAAAGCAGGAAGAGTAGTTGAGAAAAGATCAAGATTCCGGCGGGCAAGACTCGACAAGTGATTACTGCCAGACTGTCTGTTATCAGGGGGATAATAACAGCTCCCTGGCTTCACCTGCATACCATCCATTTCTCCCTAAAGCGAGCCCATCAATTTCTACATTCTTAATAAACACAAGCAGAATCTTACACAATGCTCCTTTGCTTGTGTGCATTTCACACTGACACATCGGATGCCACTTTATCAGAGAAAAGCCTTGTTTTGAGCTTCATGACAATGCTTTTTTTATTTTTTATAAATTTGATGCATTTTAAGCCCAAGAGGTTGGAAAATATCCTAAAGCCAAAAAAGAGCCGTGCACCCCTTTAACTAAAGTGAAACAATGTGTGTGAGCAAAGCCACTTTTGTTCACGAGCAGCGTTGAAGGCCTCGTAATTCTCAAGGCAATGAAAAGGTTGACTTTGTGGGTCCTTGTTGGGTTTTTAGCGAACAATGACCCCCTTAGTGTCTGCTCATTAACACACAGACACACTCGCACAATCCACTTGGCTCAACAAAGATGGCATTGTAAAAGATTGTGTGTGTGTGTGCACAAGTACGTACACACACACACACACACACACACACACACACACACACACACACACA